GTATATATATATATATATATATATATATGCGGGTGATTCGTCTGTATTCTGAGAAAACTTTTGATTAAGAGCCTCTTGGAATCGTATGAATATACGTACGATCGTTTTTATACGTAATATGACATGTGTGTGTGGGTTATATGAATCTCGTTTTGCAAATGGTATGCTCTCGGAGTGGCGTTATCGTCTTAGTTTTGATTATTTTTTTTTTTTTTTTTTACAAGAGTATGTCTAGTGTAGATATACTATGCGATGCCGTCGTATGTGGCTAGCGTAATTTTTAACTGAGGAAAATTACAACTCGGAGGTACGTGAAATCGTTATTAAACGTTATGGAAAAATTTTCTTTCGTTCTCTTAAATTATTATAGCACGTTTTACATTTTTTTCTTTTTTTTTTTTTTTTTTTTGTTGATCAAGCTTTTCGTAGTACGCCAACTTATTTATTTCTTTATTATTATACAGATTTTTACCTCCTTTTACACCATTTTTACTTAGAGCCAACTCCCCCTTAACACAATCTTCTTTTTTAATCTCTTACGAATACAAATCCGTATATAAAGTATTTTTTCCGATGACACACGTCAATTTACTATTTATACGTATACTTATTAGGTGAAAAAAAAAAATTCTACCTTGCTGTCTATGAATCTGATAAAAAATCGGATAAGATCTACTGTCTGGGAAGGTAGCAAAAAACTATTATTTAAAAAAAGGATGAAAAAATAAGTTTACTGGGAAAGATCTTCAAAACTCTCTTCAAAATCCAAACCTCTTATACTTCGCCAAACTTCGTTATTAAACCAAAATAATCAGATCAATAAATTTTTTTTTTTTTCTAATAACGATCAGAGGAAAAAATATAGCTCGTCTCCTCTATAATTATATACCCGACTATTAGATTAGCTCTTTGCCCCCGCGTATATTTCATAGAACTCGGCGAACTTTCTGTTCCAATTTTGTCTTTGTCCCCGGTGTCACCACTGCAGCGGGAATAGTGTATACGTTTGTCCACTGGTTAATACATCGCAAAGTTTCGTCTACCCATTGACTTAAAACAAATCAACACGCATTTTCACAGTTGTATGGTTGAAAATGCGATTTCAGTATCCCCTGCATTATAAACATACATCAAGACCGCGACAACGATACTTCGCTTGGAGCTAAAATTACAGTAGCTTCTCTATAGGGAAATAAAAAAAAGAAATAGCTTCGCCACAGCCCCCCACCCCCTCTGATAACCCAAGCAACCCTTATACAGCGACCTCGTGTCTATGTATGTATTCAAAAGTCCGTCCTCGCAGCGGCATTGTTAAGTACCACACCCCCATGGCGCGTAATAAACATTTTTTCACCCCTGCGCGTTTTTTTCTTTATCTCATCCGGCCCTCTCGAGTAAAGTTCCTCCTCGAGGCCTCTTTTTCCTTAAAGCGGTGGAACGTGGCGGAGAAGCCGAGCTCGTACACAAACTGCACTTCCCACCAAAAAGGGAAATCCCCCTCGTTTGCCTATTATCTCGTCAAGGCGTTTTTTACTTCTTTGTGTTACTTGCGCTTATAATAATAGAAAAACAATAAGTGTCTCGTTCTTCCCGTTTGCGTTTGGAAAACGTTTAGTTGCATGTTATCGTCGAGCTCGTGCGGCTTCTTTGCAACTCATCGCGCGAGAGCAACGTTTCTCTTTTTTTTTTTTTTTTTTTTTTTGTGGGCACTATCGCGAGGCGCGCGCGTGACCTCGACATTTCGCAGCTTTTTTCACCCAATTTTTTGTTTTTGTTGTTTCCTGAAACGCTAGAGATTGTATTTTAATGTATATAATTATATATTATGAGCCACGTTGTTGATTGGGCTTGTGTAACGTATAATTGTGTACGTGGGACGGGTCGCTGTGATATATTTGTTTTTTTTCTCTTTTTCAAGTAGCAGGTAATAAATTAGTATTCATCTAGATTTTTCGTGAATTTTTTTAATTTCTTTCCGCAGTTGATGCTGAATATTTAATTTCTAACTGCAAGTACGCTACCGAGCGACGAATGAGCGAAAACGTCTAGCGAAAAACAAATTCTGTTTCAAGAAAAGGAAGAGGAAAGAACGCGAGAACGTTTATTTTATTCATGGACGCTTTTTGATCAACAAAAGCAAAGTAATTATAATTTGAGCATTTGGACGAGCAACAGAAGAAAAATTTTGCATCGTACCCGGAGTAAGCTAATATTTTTTTTTTTTTTTTAACTTTATTCTATTTCTTTCATTCAACTTATTTAAACGAACATGTTTTATTTCTTCCAGCATCATCGATCAGCTGCTTCATCTCTAATTCCATGTATGGTCACTCAGCATAGCAATAACTTATGCATTTATTATAAAATATCATACAACCCAGACGGGGTCGCGAGTATACATACCCCCTTACTCATCGTCATGGTTTTTTTTTTCTATTTTTAATTTCAAACCTGCATCGGCAGTCCTGCGGGCGTTTTTTGCGATAATTTTATCAAAGTCGTAATCGATGTCATTGAAAACTCACGCGATGAAAAATACACGGTATACAGTACTTATGACGTGGGGATTTTTTCCCTCAATTCCATATAGTATACGTTTGCTTCATTAAAGTGGCTTTTTTTACCTCGATTCGTATGGATATTTTTTACCGTCTATGCGTACGAACAAAAAAAAAAAAAGAAGAGAAGAGTCGCATAAGATTGAAATGTAAATTAAACTGCGCTAAACATTCGCCTTGTTCGAGAGTTGACGCGAGTCGCTGAGTGTATTTGAACGGAAACACGCACATATACCTATATCTATCGTATCTGCGTCTCGACATTTCGCACACGTGTTTTTTTGCAGTTACTTTGGTTTTTTTTTACCATCGCATATTTTTGATATCATTTATTTCGTTATCCTCATTTCCAATGATGGAAAATAACCCGGTGGAACGGAAAATCCTCCAATTGATCCGCGTTACTCGAACAAAGTGTGCGATAACAATTTATTTTCAGTCCGAGAGACTAAACCACCGAGATCCACACGTGACGTGCACCGCGTCGGGGTTGATTGTTTATTTTCGTAAAATATTCGCTGATGCTGAGGAGAAAAAACGCACTTCCTCACCTGTTTTCAATCAACGCTTCTCCACATTAAGTAACGAACGATCCAAGGGGAGCTCGTAGGTGACCAGTGGCGAAACCAAATTTACGAGTCCTCGCTTGTCAATCGTCCGTCGATGCTTTACAACGCCATCCGCACTTTTTTCCGATTTTCAATGAAATTGTTCATTAGTCGGAAAAACAAAAAAGAAAAGAAGATTCCACCACCCAACCCTTTGTACTCGTCACCAATCACATGACAGACACATACGCACACATGACCACATCACGGGGGCACCCACTTGAGGGAACAAAAAAAAAAAAAAAAAAATTTCCCTCCTCATTGACGATACCAGTACACACGTAACATGTGCGTGTTACGTGCTCAACCCTATGTCTCTCGACATTCGTAAGGGGGTGAAAAGCAAAAAGTGACAAGTAAACCGTCAACCACGAGTTTTCTTGAAAAAAAAAAAAAGAAAAGAAAAAAGAAAAATTAAGTACATGAAAGGGTCGAGGAAGGCGCGATAATGTCAAGTCATGGGGTAAGATTCGCGCGAGTCGATGGCCAAACGGCAACCACCGCGGTGGCCTACCTCGAGCGTACTGCTCGTCCGGCGTGTTGGCTTGGACGTCTGATGTATACCACCACGCTCTAGCTCATCTCTTTTAACGTATACATACATATATATATATTTATATATATACATACGCACATCAGAGAGGGTAGAGTAGAGAGAACCGAGTGGCGCTTGCGCGAAACGTATATATATGTATATGTACATCACACGTAGTAGGGTATATTTTATCCCTCCTCCATTCCCTCCGGTTCGCTTATTATTATATGTTATATTTGCTCGCTTTTACGGGGGTAGATTGGGGTGGGGTGCAATTCTCCTCACCCTCTTTCGCAAAAACCAACTCTCTCGGCTACTGTTACTCTCGTTGTATGTATTATATACACCCTCTGCATGTCCTTTTTGGAGGGTTGCGGTTGCACGTACAATATACATAGGTATGGACGAAAGCCAGTTTATGATAACCCTTTCGTCAGGATAGTAGGAGGTTTCGGAGATTTGTAACAACACTTTTTTCAGGAGTTTTTTTCAAACTTTTTTTTCTATTTTACTAGGGGTTCAAAGGGGGGTTTTTTTTTTTTCCAAAATTGGTCAGCGGTAGGTGAATAATTGAGTATTCCTCGTTCATTTTCATCGTGGAAAAGCGGTTTGCATTTGACGACCCTTATTGAATACTCGTGGTACAGACGCGTATATTTTTTACTTTAGGTATATATTAAAGATAGCAATTATAAACCGGATAAGTAACTTTTTCTTTTTTTTTTATTGGTTTAATGTCCATTTGGTCGTAACTATGTGTGTGGCTTATGTAAAAAAAGTATACATGGTGTTACTATTGCAATTATCGATGTTAAATACCCTCCATTATAGGTACACTTTCCAAAAATGATTCGCTTTACCCACCAAATCATGGATATAAATGATTCAAGGAAAAAGATTAACAATTAATCCATTGAAACAATATGAAAAAAAAAGAAAAATGGTAGTTTTCCTACGAGTTTGAAAAGTCTCTGTTTGCGAACCAAGAGGTTTGCGGCCCAAGCCGAAGGCGAGGTCCGTAACGAGGTTCGTAAAGGAGACTTTTCGAACGAGTTCCGGAAAACTGCTTTTTCGCCCGAGGAAGTACCAGCCTCCCAAAACCACCCGAGGGCGAAAAAAAATGTTTTAATCTAAAACAGAGAAACTTTTTTTATATATAATATTCATCTATCTCACGAGGCATTAAACGTCTATTTTTTCAATACGAGTACTATTTAGCAATAGTACGAATTTCATAAAAGATAGGCTTAAAAAAACATTAATTCAAAAAATACTTAATGACGCGCTTCTTCAAACATCGCAACGTAACAAGTAACCAGCTGCTATTTTTAATAAAATACAATTTTAAATAACGCGAATGTAATGGCAAACAGTTGAAAAGTCAACGCCATAATTATATTTTCAGACTGCATATTTCTTTGAATTCTGTAAAAAAAAAAAAAAAACTTACTCAAAGGTGGAAAAGAAACATATAAACTTATGTACCGACTCTTCCAACCATGTGAATTTTTTCAAATTTTAAACTAAAAAACATCGAGTCTTCTATTATTATACAGCAATATTACTGCACAATCAGATTTAATGATCATAGCTTGTTATTTGGTTATAGCAAAAACAAGAGGCTACATGAATTATAATATTCTAAGTTGTTGGCACATATCGCTATTATTTATATCGCCAAAAATTGTGGTCATGAAAAATAATGGCACGTTATTTTTAAAATTTCTAATTTTACTATTAACTATAAATCATAAGTATACATCATAGAAAAGTGTGCACACACGTGGGCAACTATATACCGTTGAAAAATGAAAAATCAACTGATGCTCTATGCTCAAAGTGTGCCTCTGGCAAAGAAAAATCAAAAAGCGCCAGCCGGAACTGGCACGTTATCCAAAAAATGCCCTTTTGCCCGCGTTGCATTTATTTTTAATCGCCAAAGCGTCAAATAGAATATATACATATATTTAAACCCGTTATACAAAGTGGACGCAGGTTCTCTCTCTTTCAATTCGGAAGCGAATCTGTTGAATTGCAGATATTTACCTGCACGTTATACTTCGCTCGAGCGATCGATCGCCATTAGTTGGCTTCTCGCGCTTTTTGTTTACTTTTTGTTGTACCCATACAGGTACACGCAGTCCAGTTGCACTGCCTGCGGGCTCTTGTTAATATATCGATGGTGATGCTGCTGCGAGGCTTCTTGGCGATTGATTTTGCCGTTGCACTGATTTTTATTCATTTTTTCGTACATTCATTTCCTGTTGTTGTACACGAGTAAGTTTATCATAAGGTTTCGATTAATCGAGTTTTTCGTATCATTGAGCTACCCAATTCTTTGAATCAAAGAAAATTTCTTTACCCTCATTCCGTTAAATAATTTCTTTTAATTGAAACAAATTTAGTCGATCCAAAAAAATATTTCGTACAACTAAATGAGAAATTCGTAATTAAAAAGAGAAAATTTTTATTTAATAAAATGTTATTTTTAATTAACTTATATTTTTTTACTCGTAAGTAAATATTTAACGGAATGAGGGTAAAGAAATTTTCTTTGATTCAAAGAGTTGGGTTGCTCAGTGATAGGACTTAGGAGTCGATGCAACACGTCTTGTTTTTTAAACCACTCGACGGATGATTTTTCGCGGAGTTGCTCGTATGCGTCGAATGAAAGCACCGACAATGATTATGATGAATTCCATGAAATTACATCACCAATGATATCGAGCTGGCAGCTCGATAAAGCAAAGTGTAACGGGGAGGAGCGTCGTACTATCGGTGGGATGAATAAAAAAAGTCTTCAAAGATATACGACTAATATTTTGCCGTAAAAGTTTTTGAACAAAAATATTGATTCGTCCACTTATTGTTTATATCGACTCAAAGGTCTCGATGAATACAATTTTGCAGGCACTTGTTACATACGGTATAATGGGTGACGCGTTACGCCACCAGAACTACGCGACCAAGGAAGGGCATAATAAGGAGGAAGGAGTAAATCCAAGTGTGGTAAAGTACGCGTTTAAAGTATATGTAATTTGAATTTTGGTTATTTATATGAAATGCATTTTAGTAGTTGCGTTGATGAGAATTAAAAGAACAAGCTATTCTATGGTGCACCAAGTGGTTAACCAGTTTAACTAAACTGGACACTTTTGAATGGGAAAAACCAATGCAGGAAAGCTTTGGAGTAAAAAAATTTGGCTGTCACAGATTCAACGTGCATACCAAGTGTGTATTACATAATATATGACAGAAATTAATTATATCCTCCTCAATTTAATAGTTGACGTAGAAAAAATGGTTTAGTTCAATTGGTTTGGCAAACGATTTGGTTTTTCTTAAAAATTGTATCAACACCACTACCGTAATGCATTTCATAAAAAAAAAAAAAAACAGAAATTTAATCGAATTTCGACAATATCCGTTAAATGTAATGTACCTCGATTACACATATATTTACAGATGTAGGTTTAAATTATGGCAAAAGGATCTCACACGGCGGTAAAAGTTTCACGTTACGCGAGAGATGTTGGTGCACCAATAATTACCATGACAAGGTACACCTTGTGCTACAAGCTGTGAGGCTCCCATTAATAATCTGTCAACCGTATGATTACAATAATTTTCGTGGTTCCCATTTTTCTAAGCCAACACTTACTTTTGGTGAGTTCCTAAGGAATATTTGAACGAAAAGTAAAAAATGCACGCTCTATTTTGGTCATTGGAACATTTGCATTTCTTGCGAAACTTTTTCGTACGCAAAGTATAGGTGACGACGTAAATAGTAGTTTTCCTACGAGTTTGAAAAGTCTCTGTTTGCGAACCGAGAGGTTTGCGGCCCGAGCCAAAGGCGAGGGACGTAACGAGGTTCGTAAAGGAGACTTTTCGAACGAGTTCCGGAAAACTGCTTTTTCGCCCAAGGAAGTACCAGCCTCCCAAAACCACCCGAGGGCGGAAAAATAATTTTTTTTTCTCCGTACAAAAAAGGGGTAACCTTGTCTGCGAGAAAAATTCATCATGGGAGGAACTATATTTTTAAATCCGTCGATCTTTTATTTTGTAAAAAAAAAAAAAAAAGAAAAAAAGAAAGGTACAAGTGTTTTTTTTTTTTCCTTTGTTAACATGAGTTTGAATAGAGAATTTTGTACATTTTCATTTAAAGCGTGTACAATAAAAATATTCACAGTGCTATGGAGACGAAAATCCGTCAACACGTCATTAGCATCGTTTACTTTAAAATCCCGTTAATGAAACGCCCACGTACGCGCAACCCAAACTCGTTTCGTTTCGTCAAGTGTCAACGAAAATATTTATTCCGCTCATTCATCCGGCAGTGAAGTTAAGTGTACCTATAACCGCGTGCAATTTAATTAAAGCGTGAAAATCAGGGAAATATGGATCGGGTTCGCTTGGCGGTACAAGAACCGAAATCGGAGCTCGAGAAAAAGGACTATTTGTTGATTTGTTGAAAATCACATTTTCACGTAACATGTACTTATACAACAAAATCAGATTCAACGTCTTTTCATTGGATTTTTGTTATTAATTCTCGTAGTTATGTACAAATTAACTTGTTCACTTACTCAGAGTCTTTATAAATTGTCAATACATTTATATGTATATTGCAAAATAGTAAATCTCTTTGAAAAAAAGGTTCAAATACTTTTAGAAAGTTACTCTAACTTACTTATCTTGCTTTTGTAATATGTTAACAAATAAAAAAAAAATGTGTCTCAACATTCACGCGGGATGGTCCAACGGAAAAACCGGATTTAAAAAAAATTTCATTTTTTTTTTTTGGTACAAAGAGACGATAAAACCTCTTTTCTATCTCAAAAGATGTGTCATCGAGTCGTAGTGATAATTGATATGAAACACGTTCATAATGTAAAAATATATATTTAAAAAAGCTTTTGTTCTTTCACAAAAAAGAAACTTGACAAATAATACTGTTGGTTGAGTAAAGTTAATAAAACTACACGTGATAGGCAAAAATCAAAAATATTTTTAAAGCATTATTAACTTTTGTACAATACGAACTTTTTCTTCAAATAATCTAAAAATTGTATGGAAAATTGTTCTCCTCTTTGAGTACAGTAGTATATACTGTCTATTGATTAATAAAACATAAAAAAAGTTTATCAGTGATCATCGAATTACGCAACACAGTAAAAAAGCTGGTTGCACTTGACAAGTCAAAACGCCAAAGTATAGAGATGCTGTTTGTAATGACATAACTATGGCTCGTGTACGTACACATTTTTTTTTTTGTTTTTACTTCGTAACTCGAAGCAACTCCTGTCTGATTGATAGGCGCTTGGATGAATAGGTCAATTGCTTTTTGTTCATGTATTAATTAACATTCTCGTTGATAACGAGACGAATAAACTCGAGGAAAAACTCGCAATGTAAACTGATCTTGTACATGTTGAGGGAAACAAAAAAAAAAATAGTCACAGAGCGAATATATTATATGCATTAAATAGCGAGATGAGACGAAAGGGATGAATAATAATCAGCCGCTATAAATACGTGGTATGCTTATCTCACGAGCACTGCATACAATATATGTGTATTATCAAAGACGCGAGGGACAAAACAGTCGAGTCTTATCGGTTTGACGCGGTTTTTTTTTTTATGTGCTTCAGGATTATACTTTGAGTCTAGAAGCATAGTAAAATATGCCCTTTGAAAGTACATTAGTGAGAGTCCGCTGATTCGTAAAGAAATAAAATATATACATATGTATAATTTGCATAAATAACTGACGAAGCAAGCAGATTTTTCCTCGACTCGGTTTACGTCAGTAATATCCATTTAATATGTAGGAACCGTGGAATACGAGAAAAATTTAAAAAAAATCTCGAATAACAAGCGGTGCACTTGAGGGAATGAAAAAGCCCTCGTCCCCTAGACCCCACAACTTAAGATCGAAAAAAAAAAGAAACAGGAAACAATAGGTGCGAGTGTCGGAGGGAACTCCTGGAAATAAAAATTTAACGTCCCCTAACGGCTCGTCGCGTCGCGCATATAAGTACCTGAAGAAAAAAGGACACGGAAGAGCGATAATGTTGTCGCCCGCGTGAAGAAAAAAGGACAATGATTCAGCGGCAACGTGTCGAGTCGGGGGCTCAAGGGGCGTTTGGGTACGAATTATTTTCGAGCCACGAAACTTCCCCGGCCATCCGTCACTCTTTTACTCGTTGGGCACGATTATATATTTCAGGACATTTGTCCGCGCACGGACGATCGCGCGTTTTCACCGTCTGATGCGGCTGGTGGTGTATACCTATGGGTTTTTGTAGCGAAATCGATGCTGCTGTTGGTAGACGATGGTATTTTTAAATCTCAGATGGGGACGAGGGTTGCAGTGACTGTTTTCACCAAGTGTGGAAATTTTACTGCGTGAGCGTGTGTGTCATAGAAGGCAGGGTACGTTTACGAGAATTTACCAAATTTTTTAATTGGTTGAAAAAAAATTTATGGTTTTTGTTAAAATTACCTACACTTCGAATGCAGAAATATAAGAAATTAACAGTTATCGCATGTAAAATAAAAAAAATAAAAAAATTAAAAAAGTTATTTTATATATTTGTCGCGATCTTTAAAAAAATATAGTCTTTACGATTCAAAAATTTAATATTAAAAACAAAACAAAAAATTCAACTAAACATACTACAGCTAAACTTTACGACTCATGAAATTGTTGATCTCATCAAAATACGCCTTTTTTGCTGTTATGAGTTAATCATATTTTTGCTTATTATACAATCCTGATGGTTGCAACAGCAAAAACGTTAAAAAACAGTGAAAAAATGGGTTTCTTTTTCTATTGAAGAAATAAATGAATACCCTACAACACAGTTGGGAGTGCAAAAGCTGTAGACCTTGAAACAATACATCCTTTGACTTTGCTAGCAAAAAACAATTTTTTTTTTTTAACTCCTGGCCACTTGTTTTTTCGTGATAACACGCGTCAATTTTAAAATCTCGATAGAAACGTGGATTTTCAGTTGTACAGATGTGCAGTCATTTATTCAAATTCCGGTTTTTCTCTACTTGTTTTTTATTAAAAAAAAAAACAGAGGCGCGCACCGGCTATCCTTCGACGGTTTTTGCATTAAAAGTAGTAACAAAAAAAGTATACCAACAGAGATAAATGTTGTTGTATCACAAGTAGTTCAATTTATAAAAAAGGCTGTACATTTGCATATATTATAAGACACGATTGTTACAATTACTACTACCATAAAAAGTGTAATTATGATATGCATACAAAAATTGATGTAAAACGATTTTTTAGTCAATTGTTAATGATTTTTGTTGTTTAAAGAGTCACGATGACATTTAAAAATTTTAACTAAAGAAAAAAATTTTTTTTGAGATCCGCAACTTTTGCATGCAACACTTTGTCGCTGAACGACATATTATTCTTCTCATGGGAACTAATATGATTTTTCCATTGTTTTCTTACATTTACTGATTATAAAGTATTTGTATTTTGTAAGTAATATTTTTATAACACTGTAACTTTTTTTTTTATTACGGGCATAAAATAATTTTTTTTTAATTTCCTTTTTCACGATATTGAATGTTGTTTGATTTTCTAGAGAAGAGCGTACACGATCTACAACATTCTGCTGGAATAATATCAAGAAACATATGATTTTTTTTTTCTAAACTGAATCATGTACACTTTTTTTTCTTCCATGCAAACTCTAAGCAATCCAGTACTTCTGTGCAACAATTTTGTCTTAAATGATTCATGAAAAATTCGATGGGGCTAAATAAAATGTATTTGTTACTTTGAAATTGGTTTTCGTAGGAAATCCCTCGATCCATGCACAAATTAATATACGAAAACACGAGTATGAAAACAGCCCGTGAAGAGATTTTTCAGTTTACCTATTCGTCTCTAACTCGTTGTTTTGAACAAAAGCGTCTCGCTCCCGTTGCCCGTCAACGCGCTCAGAACAAAAAATCCACAAAGGCCCCCCAGGCATTGTTCTAATCCAAACCTAAAAGCCAAATGGGAGGAAAAAAAGGGAGGTAGGGGCACCACTCGAGACTCAAGCGAATTTGATTCTGGTGCTGCTGTGCCAATCAAGGCGCCCCACCGGTTTACAATGGTCTCGGCCGAACAATAGGACATTTCTAGTCAATAGACGAAACGCGCCGGGTGTACCTGCATACACGCATGTGTAGGTAAGGGGGCGCAAAATTTGGTTCTAAGCATCGGCATACGATTTGGGTGAAAAGCTTACTCCATCGATCCTGTACAGTCCAAGGATTTGAAAGATAAAGTTTTGATGTTGTTGAATGCAAAAATTTCAATTGACCCATTGACTGGTACCATCCAAGGTGATGTCACGTGCAAAATAATGTTTGTGTTGAATAATAAAAATCAAATTTTTTATTCCGATAACAGTTTTCTCTTCAAAAATAGTTATTTATCAATATATGTATATACAGGTATTTAATGTATAGGCAATGCATGTATAATCGTATCCTCAGGTACCTGAGAGCATTGGGAATGCAATTTTTCATTCATGTACAATTTCCCGTCGACCCTGGACGCAATTTTGAAGCAATTGTAGTTGATACCACAGACGGTCTATCTTTAATTTCTAGCAATGTCGTAATTCTCTTTGTACCAGTCTACGGTCTCTTTGATAGCTTGCTCGAAGGGAGTAAACTGAAAATCTGGCAAGAACTTTCTGAGCTTGGCGTTGCTCGCCGTTTTCTTGTATTGTCCGTCAGCTGACAAAGTGTCAAAGGCAATTTTCCCTTTGAAATCGAATGCCTTGGCCAATGCCTCAGCTGCCTGAGCTATCGTCACCTCTTGCGACTCATCAACTGAAATAATGGAGTTGTTAGAGCATTTTCATTGCTAACTGGAAATTTTTTTAAAATGCGTTACCTGATAAAATTATAGGTTCCACTGAGTCGTATTCTCTTAAGACCCATACGAATAATTTTGCTAAATCCAGACTGTAGATAAATTGTCTCAACGGTTTACCAGTGCCCAATACTGTAAAAACCTTGTCCTCTGTGTTACCTAACAGAAATAATAATCCATTGCCTAAAATTTATCTCATTTCTTCTTAGGGATCATTTAAAAGCATACATACCATCTTTTAGGATATTGTACAGTTTTCTCATCAAACCAGGAATTACATGACTAGCACTTGGGTGAAAATTATCATGTGGTCCAAACACATTGCACGGAATGACACTAGTGTACAATCTTCCATGCTGATCATAATATCCTTTATTTTGTACATCTATCAATCGTTTGGAATAGCTGTATCCATAGTTTGATGGATGAGGAGGTCCATTGTGTACCTAAACAATAAATAACACATTTAAACGTACTTATCTATAAAATCTTTTCATGAATCACTTACCATTGTTTCGTCAATTGGATATGATGTTTTGTCTGGGAAAATACAAGTTGAAAGACAAGATACAACTTTCACAACATCATATTCGTGGGCTGTTTGTAGAACGTTATCATTCATGTGAAGATTCTTACGCTGAAAATTGTATAGTTTAAGTTTTATTTAATTCTCGATTATGTAACAAGACTATTTCTGCCAGGATTCAAGTATTAACTCACCAAAAAGTCCAAATTATGAGTCATATTATGAAACAAACCACCAACCATAGCCGCCAAATGAATGACATGAGTAGGCTTGTGCTTTTCAAACAAATTTTCTGTGCTTTTTTTATCACTAAAAAAGATTTTTTAGATTAATAACAAGCATATTATTCACCTGATGACTCAGAAAAAATAATTGAAAGTAATGTAGACAAACCATAGATCTGCATCTTTTGAACTAATAAAAATCCACTTTTCATTTGGAAGATTATCTTTTTTAATAACAGTTTGTATAGCTTTGCCTACCAAACCACTTCCACCTGTGACTAGAATAATTTTTTCTTCGTCAGCCATCTGAAAATTATAAAAAAGTAATTTTTAATATCTTTACAAGACACTTGATTTTTTTTTTTTAATATTTTGTATATTATAATAGTGTATTTTGTATTAATCGAAATATTATATTGTATTTTAATCATATTTCAACTAAAAATTATTTTTGTAAAATTATAACCTAATGTATTAAGATGATACAATAATCAAAGATATAACTATAATACAAGCCTAGACTAAAAGTTGCAAAAACTCTTGAAATAATCTGAAATAAAACGTAATTTTTTTAGTCTTACATCTTTATTCAACTACTTAAATAGTAAAAATATACTGCAAGTTGCCAAGTTGGCCTAATCAAATTTGTCTGCGCGCACACGCACACGGAACACACCAGCACACCTGGTTAAAAGGCGGAGTAAACGCGGGTGTGAAATTGTTGGTATTGTATTGTCAATTGTCAATATTGTCATCGTGTGATCGTGTTTAAAATTATATATTTCGTATACAGTAGATCAGCGCCATCTAGCGTTTCGGATTTCGCGGACTGACGCAAACTATTTTCTAGGGGAACCGTCTTGAAAAAAACCCTAGATTCTAGGGATTTCTGGAAGAAGTAAATAACTAGATATATATAGATATACATAGTAGGTCAAAAATCGCCGACGCGCGTGAAGGTGAAGGGTCTATTTGTGCGCTTCGAAATAGTACGTTAGTACGCAATCAGCCGGCTCCAGACTCCAGATTGATGGTCATATA